TAAGATGGTTCATGAGTTTTTTGATGCGCTCTATTTCTGTTTTTGGAATGTAGACATCTAATGTGATAAGTTTCCCTCTTAAGACTGCTTTTGCTGTATTCCACAGGTTTTGGTAACTTGTGTCTTCATTGTTGTTATTTTGAGGAATTTAGCAATTTCCTCTTTTATCTCTTCCTGAACCCAATTATCATTCAGCATAAGGTTGTTTAATTTCTAAGGCTTTGTGTGTGGGGAACATTTTTGTTGGTGTTGAGTTCTGCCTTCATTGCCTTGTTGTCTGAGAAGATAAAAGGTGTAATTTCTATTATTTTAATTTGCTGAGGATTGATTTGTATCCTAGGATGTAGTCCATTTTGGAGTACATACCATGGGCTGATGAGAAAAATGTATATTCCTTAGCATTGGGATGGTGTGTTCTGCATGTGTCATTTAATCCCATTTGTTCTAGGGTCACATTTAAGTCCTTTGCATGTTTGTTTAGTTTCTGTTTAGAGGATCTGTGCAATTCTGTCAGAGGGGTGTTAACATCCCCACCTGTTATGGTGTTATGGGCTATCATATTACTCAGACCCATCTAGGTCTGTTTCATAAATCTGGGAGCCTTTAAGTTGAGTGCATATATACTTAAGATTGAAATGTCTTCTTGTTGATTTTTTCCTTTGTCTAGTATAAAATGTCCATCTTTGTCTTTCTTAACTTTAGTTGCTTTAAATCCTCTTGTACCTCAAAATAAGATTACAACCTCTTCTTTCTTCTGGTTTTTATTTGCTTGAAATACTGTTTTCCCTCCCTTAACCTTGAGTCCTGATTTGTCTTTCAAGGCTAAGTGTGTCTCCTGGAGACAGTATATGGACGGCTTATGCTTTTTTATCCAGTCAGCCAGCCTGTGCCTCTTCAGTGATAAATTCAGTCCATTGATGATTATTAAGAGAATTGATAAGTGTGATGGAGTTCCATTCATCTTATTTTATGAAAGTCCATTGTATAGTTTTATCCTTTGTGCCATTGTAGAAGCTATGTTTTATGTTTTGTCCTGTAGCTTCTGGGTGTTTACTTTGCTGGTAGTCCATTGTGGTGGTCACTATTGAGAATAGGTCTAAGTATTTCCTGTAGATATGGTCTTGTTGTGGCGAATTTCTTTAGTGCTTATGTATCTGCAAAAGATTTGATTTCTCCATCAATTTTGAAGCTTAGTTTAGTGGGATACAGAATTCTGGGCTGAAAATTGTTTTGTTTAAGAATGTTGAAGGTGGATGAGCATGCTTTTCTGGCTTCAAAGTTTTAATTTGAAAAGTCTGCTGTCATCCTAATGGCTCTGCCTCTGTAGGTCGGTTGGCGCTTAATCCTGACTGCTTGCAGAATGTTTTCTTTCATCTTGACTTTGGACAGCTTCATTACAATGTGTCTTGGAAAGGCTCTGTTTGAGTTGAGATGATCCAGAGTTCGATATCCATCTGAAAGGAGTGTGTTGGGGGTCTTTAGGGGTTCAATATCCATCTGAAAGGAGTGTGTTGGGGATCTTTAGTAATACTTGGGAAGTTTTCATTATGATGGTCTCCAGTAGGGCTTCCATTCCTTTGGGACAATCTTCTTCCCCTTCAGGAATCCCTATTACTCATGTGTTTGAATGCTTCATGGAGTCTTATAGTTCTCAAAGCACCTGTTCTGCTTTCTCTCTTCTTTTCTCCCTCGTTACTATGTGGGTTAACTTGAAGGCTTTGTCCTGTATCTCTGAGGTTCTTCCTTCTCCGTGGTCTAACCTATTTTAGATACTTTCTGCTGCATCTTTACCTTCCCAGATTGTCTCCTTTATTTCCTTAAGCTCCACCATATCCTTTCTATATTCTACATATCTCTCATCTGACTTGGTTCTGTCTTTTCATTTTCTTGCCCATTCCTTTTATTATCTTTATCATCCATATTTTAAATTCCCTTTCCGTCAAGTCCATTAATTCTTTATAGGTGGAATCTTCTGCAGTGGCTGCTTCGTGGTCCCTTGGAGGGAGTTCCTCTGTTTTGGTTTTTCATGTTGCCTGAATTTTTCTGTTGGTTTCTTCTTGTGTGTTCTTTCTTCTTGTTCACCTCCTTGACCTCCTTTTTACTTCTCGTTGCCTCTCTTGTTTTAAACAGAACTCCTTGCTCTTGATGACAATATGTTGCAATGTATCACCAGTTCACCAGGTGGTGCTGTGGTTTTTTTAGGAGACAGAGCACAGCCAGCAAACCTCTGTGGTTCTTATTCCAAACTTAGTTGCCTTTGGTAATCCCCTGATTATTTCCTCAGCATTCAGACCCTGACAGGGTGGGATCTTAAAGCTCACAAGAATCCTTCAGGGGCAGGTCTCATAGTACCTCTTGACTCCAGTTCCCATGGGGTGTGGGGATCGCTCACCCTGTCCCAAATGTGCAGTTCTGATCCCTTCAGGTGGAATTAAGACAAGCATGCTTTAGGCACCTGCTAAGACCTTCTCATGATCTCACAATGGCAGTCCCCTGGCCACCTAGACCTTCTCAGTATGGCTGCCTCACCAGCCACCAAACCTATGGCAGGTACCCTCCAACTCGCCTTCAACTCTGGTTGCTGTATACTCTTCAAGTCCACCTATTATTCAAAGCTTTCCAAACAAGAAACAGCTTCTCCCAAGTACCGAAAACTCTGGAGAGTCTTCCTCCCATCCTGGACCTCCATGGGGGCCAGCAGACGTCAGCTGGTAGGAATCACTTGCCTTATTCATCAGATTTCCACTGCTTGGGATCATACACTGTATCTAGCTCACCAGTTTGTTGCTCTGCTCCCTGAGCTATGACTCTGGGTAAGGTCCCCAGGCCAGGTATCGCTGGGTTTTGTCTTTTTCCCCATTCGTTCTAGGAGAGCTCAGCTGAATGATCCTTCTTGTCTGCCATCTTGCACTGACCCCATTTCTTGTGGTTTTTGATTGTACAGTTGTTGTCTTACTGTATGCCTGGCTATTTTTGGTTGAATGTTAGACATCGTTTGTGCAAGATTTTGGAACCTTTGGATGTTTCCTTACTCCAGAGCACTTATTTTCTTCTGGTGGGAGGCTGGCTAGCCTAGGACCATTGGCCTGCTTGGATCGCATTAAATCTGAACAGGGACTGAGATGATTTGTTGCTTTGGTTGGTGCAGGGTGATATAATTCTAGTTTGCCCTTATTTCTGAGATATAAGCCTGTGGGGTTATCTGAGTACTTTATGGGCCCTTCTCCTTGGTGGGCTTGCACTTCAGCTTTTGTGCCTGAAGATCCATGAGTCCTTTGAAGCTCTCCTCCACATCTGCCTTTCAGCTGTGTTGCTGTAAGGGTCTCACGAAAACGCTATGTCGTGGAGAATAAGCATGCTTATTGAAATTGTGTTTTAAATATAGGTGACCATCTGCTCACTCAGGCAAAATGGTGAGCCTTCTTTATTTATGGTTGGTTTATGTAGTCAATCTCGTGCGTGCGCACTATACGGCAATGACCTCATTAATATTCATTACAATCCCTCTACATATGTGCACTGGGCATCATTGACTTCATTAATCCATTTAAACATCTCTTGACCACCC